GCAGGAAAAAAAAATACTGATACATTCAGAATCAGTATATTGGTGATGCAAAGATTGACAACATAACTCATCATGTTAAAGGTTGCTCTGACACTCCCACAGCTCCTAATGCTGATTAGGATAGTCTTACACTACTTCTACGCCTTAGTTGCGGTCATGTGGTGTATGTACTTATTGCTTAGTGAACATACATTAACCCAAATTCATGAAAGATAAGATGTGGGTCATGTTGTACCTTCAGCAGACCTCCACCTCCTTCTCAACTCTAACTAGCCAGCACCATGGGGAAAAAACTAACGAGGCGTTCAGGCTCATCTCTGTAGCTCCTCAGCGGCTTGTAAAGTAAACGAATCCAAGTTTGTTGTCAAGAAGCCACCATGAGCTGTCATCACTGTGTAAACACCAAAAATAGATTGGTTTTAGATACAAAAATACATCTGTGTGTGAGTGTGTGTGAGCATGACATGTACCAAGATTAATTCTAATATATCTAATATTTCCACATCCACAAGTTTTTTTTATTGCTCTATTTTGAGTCCATTTGACCACTGTGCAATACTCAAAAATACCTGGCAGAAATAATAATAATGATGTCAAATGATACAGCTTCAATTTCCATCACTGTAATTCATTTTTTTCGGGACTAAAAAAAGCCAGTGCTAAACAATTCAGATTACTACATGCTTTTCTTTGCTGTGAATTTTAAATGTGCTGTTTTAATAACGTTGATGTGACTTGACTGTAAAACCTTCATATCTCCTGTTTTTTAATCTTATATGTTTTTATAAATGCCCATAAATACCTTCTCATCCTATATGTTCTTTTCTTAAATGTTAATGTCACATATGATCTTTGAATTTTTATTTATTTATTTATTTTTTAAATTTAGTTTGAAGCACCCTGAGTCTACACCTCTCGTATGAAATGCATTTGTATAAATATACTTGACGTGATTTGAGCCCAATGGATTGTGGAACAGTGAAGCCTGCAGGGGATACACTTGTTGTATCTTTAAATTCTGGCAAAGTCAGCCTTTTACAACATCGTCTTTATCTTCCTTTCATCCCATCCCACTCAGGCTGCACCCCAAAGCAACTTACCACCCTGACAACCACTTGGAGACGCCCTGATATCCACACTGATTACATTAATATTCCGCCTCTAAACACAGAGCAGCCACTCAGCAGCAGCGTGGCGATGCCCTCAACAACCACCTCAATGTGGATAACGTACCATCACTACCACAAATACGCAGCAACAACCTTGTTTAAGCATATTTTATTTAAGCAGCAATCCTTTTTCTCATTCCTTTTGCACTTAATAAAAAGACTGAGTGAGACAATAGCAAAAAAGGAAATGAAGGACTGTATCTGCACATGCCAAGAGTGTGCAGTGACACTGGGGAAGCAGTTGACCCGCAGGTTAATTAATTTCATTAGCTTGTGCCAGAGAAACATTACATATGTTTGTCCATGAGCGTAAGAGACTGAATTATAAATCTGTTCATCCTTGAGGGAAAGAAACAAAATAAAATTATCAGAGTGAAGTCAGGGCAGGGAGTTTTTTTGTGTTTGTTTCATTACATTTTTAACGAGTTATTCGGACTGAGCCCGTGACCTGATGCCACACCAAATGATGTCTGACTGTTCTTTGTGTCCTTCCTGTGTGCAGGCTGGAGTTTCAGCATGGGATCAGCCTACCAGTTCCACAGCTGGCGAGTGTTTGTGGTGGTGTGCGCGCTGCCGTGCGTCTCTGCAGTGGTGGCGCTCACTTTTATGCCTGAGAGCCCACGCTTCTTCCTGGAGGTAAAACAGACAGAGAGTTTACTGTCATACTGCAGCTCTGTCTTCTCTCTTAAAGCATCGGGCCTGTGATTTTCTGTACGTTTCTTATTGCGAACAAATCTCTGGAAAAGACCTAAACAGCAATGAACTCATGCCCCAAAGAAGTATATCCAAAACCTTATTAACGTTTTCTTCTGTCGTAAAGCTCCGTTTAATAGGGCAGAACAATGCATTCTCATGAGAACACCAGCATCTGTCCTCTCAATATACAGCAGAGACGTGTTAAATATGTGCTCCTTTTATGAGCACTGTCAACAGCTCTGTCTGTTGTCGGTCCCGTTTTTTTATTATTCATTTCTGTTAAGAAAACACAGATGTGTAACACGTCCCTCCCTATTGCGCCATATAGCCACATGTTACTGGTCCTCGAAAACACAGAGGACAGTGATGGAGAGAACAGTGTGAAAGGCTTTTCTGGGAAATTTTACAACAATAGTTGTTGTTCCACATTCCACTCCTATAGTCCAGTAGGTTGGAGTTCAAAATCTGTCTCTAAGGACACATATTCGACTAACAATATTAGAAATTGAAGTTTTCAGTGCCAAAGTGGGCCAAACCACAAAAAAATCCAAAGTTGAGTTGTATGTTTTTTTGATATGTGTTTATGGTCTACTAGTTTGTGGCAAAGGGATCCAACCAACAGCACACTAGTAATGTCACAATGCGGCTTTGAAGTTTCGCTCATAGTGATTTCAGCATAAAAATTTAGCGGCAAACTGAGCCTAGCTACAGGAATTGATCATTATATCGCAAGTAGTTGCACTTGTTTGTGATTCAAGATTACAGACAGCGCAACCTCAAGCCCCATGAAAACTCAGGTCATATGTATGGTAAGGTAAAACTAAACCTTAATCAACCACCACCAAGCATCTATTTCTACCCCATGATCCTCAGAAGTATCTTCATTTCCTTATGACGTAAACTCTTCAATGCTGTTTAGCACGACAAAACTTCAGTCATTTTTTTTCTCAAAAAGTAGAAAATGTGGTACGGCCCACTTTGGCCTTTAACAAAAGCAAAGGCAAGAAATTAAAACTTAAATAAGGCATCACAAAGTAGTTGTTTCTATCTCTGGACAGTGTTGAAACATCTTTGGATGCATGTAATGACTCTTCCAACAACCAGGACTTTTTTTTAGCAGCACAAAATTTTAACCCTATTTTTCTCTAAAACTGGTGAATGTGGTTTGGCCCACTTTGGCTCTAACCCCCTCAGTTATTATCAGTACTATTTTAACTATTACTATTAATAAATGAATGCATGCAAATTATAAAAGCGAATAAACAACTGATTGAAACATGCAAGTTGAACACATGTGGTTCACTTTTTCCACTACAAACTTAACATGGAGCATCAGAGGGAGGGAAAGTATGTCGTTACCAGACAAATAGAGCTAATGGCTGTGGGGCTTTTACAAGCAGGGAAGTTACAGCCTACAGTGAGTGCAATTTCCAGTGTTTTCTTGACAATTCTGCACAGAGACTGGCCCATAATGAAATTTGCAGAGAGCACAGTCAGTGTGTCTTCAGTCAGCAGAGCTCTGCAGCATCATCAGTCCTGTCTTTTGCTTCTACTACTTCTTCCATGTGCTGTAGGCTATCTGTTACACTTTTAACACACAGCACATCACACTGATGCACCTGGACACAACATCAGTTTGGTTTACTGGCGTCATTGTGTGTTTGAGGTATCTCGCAACATCACATGTCATCACCCAGATGACCCAGCTAGGTTTGATCAAGCCCCAGCTTGAGTCCAGGTAGAGCTATTCACCCACTGCTATCTATTACATAACATATTGATGTGTCTGTCAGAACAGAGACAGATGAATGGCTTTGATAAATGGCAGAAGTAAACGTTTTCATTTCTTGACAACTTTTATTTTATACCTTCAAGTTTATAGCAACCAGAAAACACAATGAAAATGGATTTTTGACATTTTTTTGATTTTGGAACCTTTGATAAATGCCTACAGCATCACACAGCAGTATTAAAAACATATCAGTGAGCCTCACTGGGTGATCTGTTACATTACACAGGAAACGAACTCCAACAGAAAATCACCTGCCCGATCCTTTAATGACAATGATTCAGAGAACTTTTGTGAAATACAGTTTTAAAATACAAGCTGTGCTGGGTTATTGTTGAAGTCATTTCAAGTTTTATGTTATTTGCTTTTATGTATTCTGGTTTGTTTTACTTGACCCTGCCACTAATCATCCAGTTAGTCCCGCTGCACTGACCCCCTGCCATTCCTCATTTAATTCTTAGTTTGTCTTTGGCCCAATCCCAGTCTCCACACTCCTGGTATTCCAGACTTTAAGGTGTGTTCCTGTTTAGTGGGTGAAGGCTCTGAGCTGTTCCACCATCATTAAGCTCTGATGCAGACTTTCCCATAGTTAATTGTTAAACTAGTGACGTATACCTGTGGTTGTCAACCATGGATGATGTAGCAGGTGACTGCTTGCTGTTGAGATTATTTATTACATGGCTGTAGAGTTGAATTATTTTCAGCCAGACATTAGATTTACAGATGATTTCTTGACTTTTGTGTGTCACAAATGGCAGTGATCAATTGGACAGCTGATCAAACAACCACCAGGACACTCTTGAAAAAGAGATTTTTAATCTCAGTGAGCATTTTCCTGGTTAAATAAAGGTTCAATAAATTGAAAAAAAAAATTAAATGCGAATCTATTTTTGCTCTTTAATTTAACTTTGTCTCTCGTGTCCTGTGTTTGGGTCAGCAGTTACTTTATGTAAAGAAAATGAATGAAACAACAACCTTTTGTTTATGTGAGAAAATATCTAAGTACATCATGAACAGGAACAGCATATAGCTAGTTCTGCATACTTTTAATGGTGATCATTTGCCAAAATGCAAAAAATGTAGGCTAAAAACAGTTTAAACCCACAGCTAGATTGCAGAAACTAGATGGCAACACAATGGCTGCATTCCAAATCACATACGTTTTCCTGTCAGTACGTACAACAGCAGTCACAAAATACGCACTGTTTCTATGGGAGCATTATTGTAGCAAAACTATTTGTCCATGTGTGTGGAGAGTTGTCTGTCCGTATCTCAATCCGTTCATCCGAAGTGAGATTTGTCAAATCTGCTCATCTGTATTAAAATTCAGACATGTAATAAGAGTTGTCAATGAGTACAGAGATATTCGCAGTTGAAAAGTCTACGTATTCAAGTAGAGTGGCTTCCCCATTGGCTGTCTTTTCACACATGACTTTTGCTACACTTCTACCATGAGAGATCTAAAATTTAACACTATCTGAAAATCAAAGTTTCTGTGTCCTGAACTCAGGCTCACAGGATCGTTCGTTGTGGCTGCTACCGCTCTGCTGCCCTGTGCCTCAGTAGTTACATCGTCTGCAAGCTATCAGTGACTCAGCAGATGTAACTTGTTCACATACAGCTGTATTTTTATATTATTAGAAGGCTCACCAATTGCCTCATGAACTATAGAACTGCAAAAAATATTGACATGTACTCAGTGTGTGCGGTCGGGATTCCATCTTTGTCTACACTCTGCCTCACAATGTGGCGTATGCTCAAAGACTCTGATGCATAGCGCCGCCTGATGGCTTGCAATTCTACAATTCTTCGAAGTTAGTTTAGCAGACCTTCATTTGACAGACTCAACGCAAACAAAAAAATGTTTTAAAAAAAATTCCTATTACCTCCCTACAGCCTGCTATTGGCATCAACGCCCTATCACACTTGAACTCGTTCAAGGGACACTTATCTAGATGGTTTTCTCCTGACTAGATCCATGCTTGTGTTGTATCTGCTCTCAGATGTACGTCACTTTGGATAAAAACGTCTGCTAAATGAAGTTGTAGAACTGATGGCTTGCAGATGGCCTAACTACTGAGGTACAGGGCAGCAGAGTGGTAGCAGCCACAATGAACGATCCTGTGAGCCTGAGCTCAGGGAACAGAAACCCTCAAATTCAGATACTCTTCAGTTTCATATCTCTCACGGTACAAGTGTGGCAACACATTGACAACTCGTATGACATGTGCCATATTTGCCATAATATTGCACCTTAAACTCTAACTGTTGCTGTCTGTGTTGCAAAATTAGTTGTCATCAGTCTGGATCAAGCTTGTTTAAACTTGTACTTGACATCGAGACCTATGTGACTGCACAGAGGATCATGGGTCAGAATGGACAGAAAACCATGTTGACTCGCTAACTGATTAGATGGAGGTGGATTTTTGGCACATATTGGAACACATTAAATCATTTTCTGACATACTATATAGCATGATAGTCCCGATAATGGAACGCAACTTGTATTTCCTTTTTCATCCCTGTAATCTCCCAAATTTTAAAACCTGTAGTTTTGGGTGTACCAAAACACTTGCATTAATCTAAAGTGTAACTCATGAGCTCATTAATGCAATTACTGGAAATGTGAGTTATATTGATTTGCTTCTAGATGCAGAAACTGAACATGAAATGAGAGTTTAAAATTGGAGAAGCTTTAAAAAACAAAACAGGCTACATCTGGCCAAGCGAGGTCGAATGCGGGGATTCTGATGTGTGTGAATACATATGCATGATATGTTAAACTCGAAAACTGTGCCGTAGATGGGCAAGCACGACGAGGCCTGGATGGTGCTCAAACACATCCATGACACCAACATGCGCGCTCGCGGAGAGCCGGAGAGAGTGTTCACTGTGAGTACCGGCTGCACGGCCTCTCCACTTCATCACTCCTGCTGCTGCAGTGCCATTAGCAGGTGACAGATCAGTGTCTCCCCCTGCAGGTGAACCGCATAAAGACCCCCAAACAGCTGGACGAGCTGGTGGAGATGCAGAATGAGTCAGCCAACCCCGCACTCAAGGTCCTCTTCAAGATCAAGGCCGAGCTCAGAGGAGTAGGATGCTGCTTTGCTTTTACTCTTCTGTACTGATTTTCTTTTTTTATTGCTTGTTGTGATTCAAAGTCAGTAAACACCATTTTCTATCTTGTTATAGATCTGGTTGACTTTCATGAGATGTTTCAACTACCCAGTAAAAGACAACACTGTGAAACTGGCCGCAGTCTGGTTTACTCTGTCCTTTGGGTAAGAAACGTTCCACACATCACCTCCAGGTCTTCTACTTCTACACTTCTGTGTGTGATTATTGCATGTTTCCATCACGTTAAATGATGTTATGTGTGGCCCTGGGTGGCACTTTGCTGAGTCATCACTACTTTCCAGCTCAATAACAGTTTCTTTCAAGTACTTAATGCAGAGGTGGATGCTCTCTCACTCATTCTCCTGATGAATCTGGACCAGATAGATTAGATTTTGTTTTGTGTCGAGTCATGTTTGTATTACGTTATCTTTATTTCTGAATGCTTTTATTGTACTACTTAAATATGTTCCCATCAGCTCCCCTATTAGTCTATATTGTTTGTCTATTAGTCTGTTTATCCCTTCACTTATCTTTTACACCACCAATCAGAATTGGGGAGTTATTGTTCTTGTTTTTTTTTTTTGGTTTTTTTTAATTAGATGATGACCTTTAAAACCTGCCAGCAGGTTTTGGGGTTAAGGGGGTTAATTTGACTCCGCACTTCATGAACACAAACTAGCTGGACCTCTGACACTGGAGGTTCTGGAGGTGAACTCCACTGCCAATTATATCATGTGCAGATGTGCCATTTCTCTGACCCTTGTAATCCTTGGTTTTATTTTATAGATGGGCTCAGTCATTTACAAAACCAACATATACACACATTTAGCTGATTTTTTTAAACCACAGTTAATTAAAGCAGTTGTCTTGAAGATTTTAGTTTTGGGTTTTGATGATGTCTGTAGCTGCTGGTGGTGACAGTAGATGTGATTTGTTACAGCAGGTCACTAGATTCTGAGGGCAGCAAAAAAAATAAATAAAATAAGCGATTGTAGTTTTAATAAGGACGTTAGGCAATGTTTGGCCTTTTCCCATCATTCTTGGGTCTGATTTTATGCTGCTGCACATGACATCAGCCAGTAGCAGGGCTCAGTGAAAGTGAGGCTCGGTTACCTGACTGAGACGTTGGTGTTCAGCCCGTCGCCTGCAGCTCTTCATCTAACAGCTCACTGTGGCTGCTCTTTCTAGTTCCATTACCGCCTGCAATATTTCTAACTGATCTGGGCTTGCAAAATACCCATAATGACTGTTATTGGTTTGTAGACACATTGTTGAGGAATGATCGCAGTAAGTGCGACACTCACTGACAAACACACTCCCTCCTTCAGAATAAGTCATCCAGAGTCAACTCGTGTTTTAGAGGTTAAATGCTTTCAATGGAAAACTGTGGCAGGAGGACGTTCAGTTTGCATTTGCAGTGACTTAATATACTGTTTTCCCTGGGAATTTCACCACAGACATCTGCAAATATGTAAATATTACTGCACTTTCACTGTAGGCACAGTACTGGTGCTACCTCGTACGGTTACAGTGAGTAACTAAACAGGTATTTATATATGTGAAAATCTTTGAGAATCCCAGTTTAAGACATAGACTGTATAAAAGATGGACGTAGTAACCGGCCCTGAAAAACAAAGCCAACCCGGAAGTGTCAAAAACCTACGTCCGCCAGCTGCTGGCTCCAAAAAGCCCTGGCTCCCATAGACTTGAATTGGAAAAGAAGTGATCACAGATCACAAAATACCGCATTCCTACAGCTCAGTATTTTTTTCTTGTTAGTTTTCATAGTCAAATTCAGAGATCAGGTGGCCAATCTGAAAACAAATCAATACAGAATTTTTTAAAAATCGTCAAAATTTTGTGGGGCAAGGGGCGTGGCTGGCTTGATTGACAGTCGGCAGCGACAATACAGACAAAGCGAGCAGAAGGCGGTAAATGTGGGCAGGCAGAGAGGGCCTGCCTCTCAATCCGTCTGACCAATCGCTGCTCCTATGGCTCCGCCCCCCTCCGACGATTTTTGCGTCACTAGCTCCAAAAATCCAAGATGTCAACCAGGAAGTAGCAAAACCCTGGCTTCATTTTCTCAGTGCAGAAACCAACGGGTGACGTCACGGAAACTACGTCCATCTTTTATACAGTCTATGGTTTAAGATGATGCAAAATCCATCCACACATTCATAGGAACGAGCACTAAAAATCAAAAACCAAAATATCAAAGATTTTTTCCCACCTCAGACTTTATGCTCTACTGGTCTAATTATCATGTGCATATTTTGGAATAAAAATGGGGTGAAATCTTAATGAAAGAAAAGATCCCTATTTCTACAGTACCAAAAGATTAGTATGAGAGAAATTGATTCCTCTTTTATTTCTGTAACTTTGTAGCAGTTGTGACACCCCGGTAGTTGGAACACACTCTCCAGTCCCCCATTTTTAAAATGGGAACCACCACCCCGATCTGCCACTCCACAGGCACCATCCCCAATGCTCACACAACATTGAAGAGACGTGTCAGTCGCCATGACAGGCACCAGTGACCTTCTGGCCACAGCTCCTAATGGCTGCTTCTACAATGGAGGTGTTGAACATGGCCCACTCCGACTCCATGTCCCCTACCTCCCCCAGGATGCAGATGAAACTCTTTTGGAAGTGGGAGTTGAAAACCCCACGGACAGGGGCCTCTGCCAAACGTTCCCAGTTCACCCTCACTACCCGTTTGGGTTTACCAGGTCTGTCTGGCAGCCTTCCCTGCCATCGGATCCAACTCACCACCAGGTGATGATCAGTTGACAGCTCTGCGCCTCTCTTTACCCAAGTGTCCAAGACATACGGCCGCAGGTCTGATGACACGACTACAGGGTCAATAATCGACCTTTGGCCTAATGTGCTCTGGTACCAGGTACACTTATGAGCTACCTTATGTTTAAACATGGTGTTTGTTATGACACAGAAATCCAATAACAAAACTCCACTCGGGTTCAGATTGGGCAGGCCATTGCTCTTAGTCACCCCCTCCAGGTTTCTCTGTCATTGCCCACTTGAGCATTGAAGTCACCTAGGAGGACTATGGAGTCCACAGGTGGCACCCCATCCAGAGCACCGCCCAGAGACTCCAAGAAGGCCAAATACTTGAATACTATGAATACTGCTGTTCGATGCATAAGCACAAACAACAGTCAACATGCAGTCACACAGAGGCGACCCTCTTGTTCTCCGAGAAGAACAAAGTGGTGCTCAGCCGGGAGCTAGTGACTATCCCCACACCCGCCCGGTGCCTCTCACCTTGGGCAACTCCGGAAAATAAGAGAGTCCAACCCCTCTCCAGGAGTTTGGTTCCAGAACCCTTGCTGTGCGTGGAGGTGAGCTCGACTATATCTAGTGCTCCACCTCTCGCACCAGCTCAGGTTCCTTCTCCACCACTGAGGTGACGTTTAACATCCCAACAACTAGTTTACGCCACCAGACGCCCCCTCCTGCCTGCTGCCCGGTGGGCATAGCACCCGACCCTGCTTTCCTGCCCTATGGGTGGTGGGCCCTCTGGGCGAAGGCCCTGTGTTACTTCCTTCGGGATATGCCCGACCGAACCCCACGGGGCCCCAAGGCTCGGCCGCCAGACACTCTCCAGCGAGCTCCCCCCAGGCCTGGCTCTAGGTGCAGGCCCCGGTCTCCCTATTCTGGGCAAGGTGGTGACTTTCTTCTTTTTCATCAAGTTTCTTTGAATCACTCTTTGTCTGGTCCCTCTCCAGGACCAGTTTGCCCTGGAAGACCCTACCAGAGGCTATTGTCATGTTTTGTAATGTATTTATACATAAACATAGTGAGTCTCAGAACGTACAAAAACTGCAGGACTAATCTAACAATTAGTGGAAATAACAAATATCACTGTGATCGAGCAAACACATGCAACAACAACACAAGCACTAAAGTACAACATTAAATATTACATCATTCAAACCCACTAGCCTCCCATCATCAGACATGGTTAGAAATGAAACTGTACGTGTGACACACTTTACTACTGAAGGTCGTTGCTGTGTTCAGGTACTACGGACTGTCTGTGTGGTTCCCCGATGTCATCAAGCACCTTCAGGCCGATGAGTACGCCTCCAGAGTGAAGATTCACAACAACGAACGCATTGAGGACTTCACCTTCAACTTCACCCTGGAGAACCAGATCCACAGAAACGGAGTCTTTCTGAATGACAGGTGCAACAAACTGACTTCAGCTTAAGTTTAACTATTTTCGGGTCACTCCACCTTTCCTAGACACAGGGGTAAAGAAATGTTTCAAAGCAGCTGCAGTGTAGCACATTCTGATCCCAACTTGTGAGCCTCCTCTGGCACAGTGTTGTGGTTAAAGCTGCTCATCCTGTTATGGGATAGCAGCACTATTCACCTTTACTGCAAACAGCACACCGCTGCAGGTAATATTAATCCTGCCTCCTTTATCTCCTCCACCACCAGGAAATTAAAAGCCTTATCGCTCTCTCTCTCTCTCT